TGTCTTGATCCGCCCATTCACCAACACACCCACTCATTTTCCTTCCCTTCACCAATCTATCCATTTACCCCACCCATCATTCCATCCATCCATCCATCCATCCATCCATCCATCCATCCTTCCTTCCTTCTTTCCTTTTTCCTTCATTCCTTCCTCTCCACTTACTTCATTCCACCTCACTGAGCCATCCACTGACTGTATCAATAGATTGGTGAGTCTATTGATCATTTAGCTCTATGCTAGATAAAATGATACAATGGAAGATTTTTAGTTGGGAAAGTCAGAGAAAATAACTTACTTGTTGGTGTTAAAGAAATAATACAGCAGAGGTGACAGTACAGACTGTCTACTTTAGCTCACAAGAGTAAGTAAAATTCAGGTGGGAGAATACAAAAGAGATTATGCCAAGACTGCAGGGTGGAGCAAAGTACATAGAAAAAAAAATTAAAGCAAGGGTCCTATGTGTAATAACCTCAACATATTCCAGGAGTAATAGGGAAGCCAGGGTTGGCTATATGAGGAAGCAGAATAGAGGAAGCAGAGGTGAATCAAGGTGCAGTCATCACGGAAGTCCTTATACCACAACAAGGATTTGTGATTTTTATTTAAAGCACAAGTGAGAAGGTGGGGGAAAGGGAGATGACATGGCTATGTTTTAATGTAATGCTGACAGCCAAGTGAAGACTCATGTAGAAGCACACAAGAATAGAAATAGGGGCCCATTTTAGAGACTACAGAAAAAAAAAATTATGCCAGGGTGGATAGCAGCAGCACAGTGCCATCAGGTACTAGATTGCTATAGTAAAATAAAATGTGGGCTCTGCCTTCAAGAATGTGGGGGGTAATGAGGAGGGACATATATCTATATATATATGTATATTTATATATATACATATATATGTATATATATGTATATATATATATATATACATAGAGAGAGATTGAGAGAGAGAGAGAGGACATACTTAGTAGACAAGGACAAAGATGCTAAGCAAAGCTCCTTAGGGAGACATGTTATTCCAAAAACACTCAAAATATGTCTTTGGAGAAGAAATGTGCCAAATTCTGATCCTATAAACAATTAGAGATCTACATTCTTCTTTCATTTACATTATTCCACAAGCATATTTCCCAAATTGTAATCTTTTAATAAACAATTCTGGGTATGACTCTGCATGCACTTCTCCACTTTCAATCTAAAATAACAAGAATAAGGTTATCTTAGTGGCTCATTGGTGGAGCATGTGTGGGACACTCGAAACAGTCCCCAATGCCAGAAACAAACAAAACAAGCAAATAAAACCCAGAAGATTTCTCCATCTTGCACTTCACCTGGCCAGACTGTAAAACAGGACAAGAACGCGCTGAGATGAGGTGGGATTAAGGAGATGCAATAGCCCTCATTTAACCATGCGTTCTCAGTGGTAAAAAGCCACTTGTGCCTTGATTTCTGCTTTACTCAGGTGCCTTTCCAGATAGTTGGTAGTGTCACATATTATACTTTGGATAGAGCGTTTAGGCCAATGTGTCTGAGGCTTTGTCCTCAGCCTGTGACACTCTTGGTAATAGAACATCCTATTGGCAAGAGGTAGATCCTAATGAAAGTAAATTAGGTCCTAGTGCACGTGTGTCTGTTAAGATAAGAGACCACTGGCTTCTCCTCCCCCGCTTAATTTGCTTCCTGACCACCCTAAGGTGTGTATCACTGCTCTTGCACACATTCCTTCACCATAGGGTGCTGCATCACCACTGGTCCAAACCAACAGGCCAAATGATCAATGACCAGAGGCTCTGAAACTATGAGCCAAAATAAACCTTTCCTTTAAAACCAATTACCTCAGATATTTTGTTAGTGCTGGAACCCTGGTTAATATGAAATGAGCTGGCCTTTGAGTTTAATCAAGTCTCCTCAGATCCATGACTGATTAAAATTTTAGAATAAAGAGATCATTAATATTCAAAGAGCCCAGGTTCTTGATGGCAAATGTCAACAGTTCCCCACCGTCAGAACCTGAGCTTCAGGGACTCTGCAGCTGTGGGCGCTCACACTTTCAGAGCTCAAACGACTCTAGAATGGCCTTCTCATGTCAGGGGCCACAGAGGTGAGGTATAGGAACAACACCCCGTGGAGTCACAAGCAAGCCTGGGGCTCTGGCCAACCGAGTCCCTCTCTCCTTCCTCCTCATGCACCTCTTGTCTTCCTCCTCTCCCTGCCCTCAATCCCTCTCCAACTTCTCTTTCCCTTACTGTCTTCAGAAAGCATTCCCCAACCAGTTATCCAACAGGATGTGTGGTTGGCGAGCTGTGTGTCTTTGGATGGGAGGCAGGCAGGTAGAACGTAGGATGTGAGGTTTACGGGGAGTCGAAGCTGCAGCATTGCAATGTCGCTCCCAAAGGAATGGAACTTCTCAAAGTCTAGGTGACTGATGATATGGTTCACAGGCATCTTCTGAGTGTGGTTTGTTTTCTGGTACAGATGAGTATTCCCCAACAGTACCTGATAATCCTCTGGGTCCTGGGATTTGCTGAAAGATAAAGATAAAGAATGCCATTGTTACTATGGTAGTTTGAATAGGTTTGGCCCCAATAGACTCATGTGTTTGAATGTTTGGCCCACAGGGAGTGGGACTATTAGGAGGTGTGGCCTTGTTGTAGTGGGTGTGGCCTTGTGGGAAGTGTGTCACTGTGAAGGTGAGCTTTGAAGTCTCATATATAACTCAAGCTATGCCCAGTGTGGAATTCCAGGCTCCTTTTTGGCTGCCTTCAGATCAAGATGGAGATCTTGGCTCCTTCAGCAACATGTCTGCCTGCCTGCTGCTGTGCTTCCTATGATAATGGACTAAACCTCTGAACCAAACTGCAAGCTAGCCCCAATTAAATGTGCGCCTTTATAAGAGTTGCCTTGGTCATGGTGTCTCTTCACAGCATTCAAACACTAAGACTATCACCATTACCTTTGAGTGGGAGAATAGCCCTGTCTTTCTGAACCCTCATGTATCACTAGCCACTCTGCCTTCATTCCATCCAGCTTGATCTCTCCCTTTCTGACAGTCAAGTGTAGTGGTCTGAATGAGAATGGCCCCCATAGGCTCATATATTTGAATGTCTGGTCCTTAGCTGATGGAACTGTTTGGGAAGGATTAGGAGGTGTGGCCTTATTGGAGGAGGTGAGTCACTGGGGCTGGACTTTGAGGTTTCAAAAGCTCAAGTAATTCTCAGTTACCCCTCCCCCCACACACACCTCGTGCTCTAGTGCCATGCCTGTCTGCCATGATTCCTACCATGATCATGTACTTAACCCCATGTGAGTTCATGTACTATAACATTGGGCCCCAACAAACATTTTCTTTTAATAAGTTGCTTTGAACATAGTGTATCATCATGACAACAGAAATGTAACTAAGACAGAAGTTAGTTCCAGTGAGTGAGCTATTGCTGTGACAGGCTTGGCCAAGCTGGTTAGACTGTTGTTTTTAAGAAATGTGTTAGATTTGGGACTTTGGACTAGGAAAGCAGTTGAACACTTTAAGCAGGGCTTAAATGGCCATCCTAGCAGGGCCTTGGAAGACAATAGTGTTGAGAGCAACATGGACTAGGGAGGCTCAGCTCAAGAGGTTTCAGAGGGGAACACTATTTTTTTTTTCAGAGGGGAACACTATTAGCAACTGGATTATAGACCATTCTTCTGTACTTTAGCAAAGAACATAGCTATGTTTGCCCTTGTCTTATGAATATTCTTGAGACTAATTTCATTGACAGGAAGAAATTTTAAGACATCCTAATATGGGGTTGGGGATTTAGCTCAGTGGTAGAGCGCTTGCCTAGCAAGCGCAAGGCCCTGGGTTCGGTCCTCAGCTCTGGGAAGGGAAGAAAAAAAAAAGAAAAAAAAAGACATCCTAATATTAAATTTGCCACTTGGCTATTAATGATTGCTCTTAAGCAGATCTATAATGAAAAAGAGCAAGTAGGGCAAAAAGAAATACAAACTGTACAGTTTAAGGAGAGAAAAAGAACAGCAGGAAATTTAATGTTGGAGCCTTAGTTTATGCTGGAAGAGGTAAGGAGAAGGAGGGTGGTGCTAAAGGGAATGGTGCCCTAGGGGTGAGACCCCAGCTATTCCTGCTGACACCAGGCATGTGGCAGGGAAGTCCCTGAATGAAGGATCAGGGATCACACATTTTCACTGTGTGAAAATGTGACCGTGAATCCTTTGCTGTGTTGGAGACCCCAGGATACTGGAGGTTCCAGAGATGTGGGAAACATGTCAAGGGGAAGGGAGTTGAACCAATCCAAAAGAGAAAAGTATATTGCAATCAGAAAAGCTGGGTGAAGCCATATATGTCCTTTGACATTGGACATAGAACTTCATGGTTTGAGTTTGCACTACTAGCTTTCATTTTTGCATTCATCCCGTATTTCCCACATCCCCTATTCCTACCTTTTTTAATGGTAATATATATCGGATATCATTCTATGTTGGAAGTATGTAATTTGTTTTCTTACTTTATAGGGGTTACAAGATTACTCTGAGTCTCCAAAGAGACTTTGGACTTTGAAAAGGCATTGTGACTAGAAGACTTGGGAATGTTTGAAGTTGGACTAAACGCAGTTTTCGTTATATGGTCATAAGCTTAAGAGGGCCAGGGAAAGTGGTAGAATGCAGTAGTTTAGGTGAGAATGGCTCCTAGAGGCGACTATATTTGAATGTTTGATCCCTAGTTGGTGGAACTATTTTGGAAGGATTAGGGAATGTGGCCTTGATGGAGGAAGTGTGGGGGTTGAGCTTTTAGGTTTCAAAAGCCTAAGCCATTCCCAGTTAGCACTCTTTCTGTCTGTCTCTGTCACTGTCTGTTTCTGTCTCTCTCTCTGTTTCTTTGTTGCTCTCTCTCCTTTGTGTCTCTGGATGGGGATATAAGTTATCAGCTATTGCTCAAGTACCATGCCTACTCCCTGCTGTAACGGTCATGGACTCTAATGCTCTGAAACTGTGAGGCCCAATAAATATTTGCTTTTATAAGCTGCCTTGGTCATAATGTCTCATTGGGCAACAGAAAAGTAAGCAAGATAGGAGCCTTCTTTCTGCAGGCTAATGGATATTCCACTCAAACCTCATGACAAAGTATTCCCCATTATATCTTAGAATTGGAGGAACAAAGAATTCTAGCATTGGAAGGTTCCCCTCAAATCAATCTCTTTTAAAAAAAGAAACTTAATTAAAAACCATGGCTGAATCCCAGTTTTATGATTTGAATCTTGAATGTCTTCTAGGCCAATAACTAGGCATACTCATTAGCCTGTGGTGCCACCCAGAGAGGGGGAAACATTTATGGACAGTCAAGAGTCTAATTCCTCTGCTTCTCTGGAACCTGACTGAGGGCCTAGCTTCTCCTCAGACATGGAGGGAATGGATGCCGTACAGGAAGAAGGAGGTTCTGATGGCATACGGAGATAATCCAGGGAGACAGCATTGTGGGTCAAGGAAGGACCAATGTGTCTTTGGTAGAGTACACTGCTCCAGAAAAAAGCCCAGAAAAGAAAGGTGTGTTATCTCTAACCTCCTTCCTCCTCTCATCCCATGTCTTTCTCACCACCGGCACCTTCTTTGGGGATTCCAGATAAGGCAAACTCACTTTCGAAAGCAGTGGGCTGTAGAAAGCAGCCAGTAGGAGTCAATGAGGACAGCTCCACAGAGATGCAATCCCCGGTACAGCAGACTGGCCTGCCATGGCCACTGGCCAGCCAATGTGTCCTGGCCACCGAACACCTTCCCAACCATCTTTGGCTTCCCACACACTGTGGAGACACCCCCATGCAAACTGTTAGAGACACAGGACCTGGAGTGTAGAATGATGCCCCACGGAGGCTCCTCCTCCACTTCACAGGTTGGAAGACCATGACAAAAGCCAAGTGACTTGTACAAGTGACTTTGGGCCACCCTGGTCTCTGTTTCACTGGCCACCATCTTGGACATGAAAAGTTCAGCTGTCAGGTCTTTGGAAACAAGAGTCCAGGAGTCTGGGAAGATGGGATGTGGTAAGTAAAAGGGTGGCCACAGCAGCCCATCGTTACATGGCTCTGTCAAGGGCAGTGGACAGAAGAGAGGCCCTCTGACCTCACTTTCTCAAGTAACAACAGCTCTGTGTTCACTTTTCAGATCAAACATCTGGAAGTCTCATAGGCTACTGATATTAGCTGCTCTAGGTCATGGCTTCTCTAGTGTCTGTCCCAACTTGAGTGAGCCAAGTATCCCAGGGAGAGAGCCTTACTGGCAGGACTCTATGGTGCTGACGAGTGGCTAGGAAAGTTGCTTTGCGTTTCTAAAAGGAGACTGGATGAGGTCAATAAGGACCACTTTGTTTCTAAGATTCATCTGGAAGGGCATTAATGGGCCCAGCTCTTGGCAGGTTGTATTTACTCTTTCCTAAGAAAGGGCATCCCAAGCCTCAAGTGAGATTTGTCCCCACTCCCCGTATTTTCCATGCTTTCTACCACCACGCCTGGGTCAGCCCTGGACACCTTTTTGGCTCCACGGCACCACACGAGGCTTTCGGGTGTGAAGAGTCAGTCCCAGAGGGGGAACGTAAATCCCCTTGGTAGATAATCTTTCTTTGGGACCACCTGAAAAGGGAACCACTTCCGGTGCCTTACCTGGCCTTTATGGCCTCCACCCATCTATCACCCGCCCACTGCTTTTCAAACGGACCTTCTGCTCTGCTCACAGAATCCTGGTGCCTGCTGGCCGACGGTTTCCAGGCTTGCTGTGGCCCCGATGTACCTACTGCTAGCCCAGGAACCTTTGAGGGGCTGGAGACACCAGGCTTTAGGACAGAGCCGGCCTTGGAGCTCAGGGGCAGCAGTAACAGCAGAGGCCAGAGGAGTAGGGGCCCAGGCCCATAGTGGATCCTCACCGCCCTAGTGCCCATCCCAGATGCTAGGACCTGTGAGGAAGTTGGTCCTGACCTGGGCTTGACCCCGCTTGACCCGGGCCTGACCCCTGCTGAGATAGTTCTTGAGACAAGGCCCCAAGTCCTTCCTCAAGTTCAGCCTTCCTACCCATTCTCACCCAATCCAGACTCCTCCAAGACCGCAGTGACCCTGGCTCTAGTTTCTGCTATTCTCAGCCTCTAACTCACGGCAATAGCCAGCAATAGTGCAATGGAAAGTTTCTGCACATCGGTGAGCCAAAGGCAGGGAGTTGAAGCGTGGAAAATAGGAAAGAATATGAAAAGGTAAATCAGCTGGGGGTGTAGCTCAGCCGTGTGGGGAGGTGAGGGGGGAAGCTGGTGGGTTCACCAGGACTTCCATGCACCCATAAAAGATCCTCACACAGGAAAAATGTGCTATCAGGAAAATAAAACATGAAAAGGATCATTTCTAGCCATCAAACTGCAAGAATCAGTAATTTTTCTTCATGGTGGTGGCAAGCATCTGAATGTCAAAAAAGACGTTCTTTTCCCATATGTAATCTGAATTTATTTGGAAACCGACCATCTCACATTTATTTATGTCAGTCTTCGTCACTCAGGCATCAACTTCAGACTATAGGAATTTCTATTTACCATGGCCTTGGTGAGAGGGTAGATAAGGTAGAGGAATTGGCTGCTTAGTGTAGACCTGGCCACTGTTAATCAGATCCTAAAGACTTCCCAGCTAGATCTCTAAATGGAGCTGTAGACATTCTCCGGACCCTGTGCTGACCTTTGGCCTGGGCCAAGGGGGCAGTCTGCTGCAACATTCAGGCAGTAGACCATGGACGTGGCTATCCAGCAGTCTGTGTAGTGTGGTGGTAGGGGACAGGTGTGTCCAGTATGGCTTGATTCCTAACGCTGTCTGTGGGACAGCCCTTTGAGTGATTTTAGCAAGGCCCAAACAATTGTAGCATATTTTGGTGGTGTGATGGGTAGGTATTCTGCACAGCCAGATCCCTATGTTTAAGATTGGTGGTCCATCAAGGCCTGAATCCAACAGTGGTTTTGGTGTGCTGATTGGGCATCCAGGAGTACCTGATCGCTAGTAGTGTAGGTGAACCCTCTCCTACATGTCGTCACTGCTGCTGTAGCTCCCCTTGGTCACTAACACACACTGACAGGAGGTAGGCCATTAACCTTGGATTCCCCTGAAAACCCCCTTAGTAGGTATTGGTCTGTGATACATAGTCTTGGTTTGCCAATTTGACTACATCTGGAACTAAGTAAAACAGGGTTTCTCTGTGTAGCCCCAGCCATCTTGAAACTTGCTCTAAAGCAGAATGGCCTTGAACTCAAAGATCTGCCCCTGAGTGATGGGATTAAAGGGGTGTACCACCACCACCCAGCAAGTGATGGGTCTTCTTAATCAGATTATTTGAAGCAGGAAAACACACGAAAATTTGGGCCTCACCTCACCATATAAAAAGACTCACAGAAGAAGGAATCTGCTTTTTTCCCATTTAGCCTTCCTGGCAAGTTCATTTATCCTGTTACTGTTGTCAACTGGATTCCAACATATAATACCAGCATTATTATTATTATGATTATCCTCCAAGAATACTCAGGGACTATAGTGCCAGGTTTGTTCTGCCGAGACATCTAGCCTCAAGGACTGAACAACTCGTGGATTTTCAAACTCTCCATTGCAAGACAGTAACTGTTGGAACACTCAGACCACATCCTGTATCCAGTTTAATAAACCCCCTTCTCAATATGAACACATACATAATAATACAGACTCCAGCCAGGAAGGTCAGTGCTCTGCTCAGCCATCTTCAGAGAAGCTTCCTCCTGCAGCAGATGGGATCCACAGAGACCCACATCCAGACATTATTTAGAGTGAGAGACCTTGGAGTATTCAGCCCTAAACAGGAGGTCTCCATCAAATCCTTCCTCTCAGGGCTCAGGGAACCCTGAAGAACAGGACAACTAAAGAGCGTACAGAGCACAAGGCCCTCTATTACTGACATGCTCAATGCACAGAAGCTATGTGGATCTGCACTAGTTGGGGTCTTCGAGCTGAAAGTAGATGCACGCCCTATCCCTAGCCCAGAGTGCTAAGTCCTAAACTTACTATCCCTTCTGCTTTTAGAGAAATAACTTTGCCACTATTTGGAAGTCTTTCTTGTGCCTGGAGATTGCGATAAGCACAGATAATAAAGATAGTAATTTCGAAATGAGGACATGACTCCAGGAATCTTCTTGGACTATCTCCTCCTAAGCAAATTCAAACAGGGTAAACTTAGAAATAGTTGACAAATCTGACTGGCCAGAATTGGTAACAGATTCAAAACCTCTTTTTACAGTACTCTTAGAGCTCTCTGAAAATAGTTTAGAAGATGGGATAGGGTTCATCTATGGAGGAACAGAACTCAGTGAGATAGCTTGACTAAAATAGCCTTTTCCTATTTAATAGTGTAGATGATGAAAACATGAAAAAGAGAATACCCCATTATTTTGGAGATACTAATTTCCCGGGATGACCAAGAACAGCAGCAGCAGTGCAGTGGGCAGCTGGTGCTTAGAAAACAAACTGTGTGTGCTGCAGAGGGTGGAGCTGGAGAAGTGACTTAAGCCTGGAGGAGCCCAGAAGATCAGGAGCGAAACCTAGACATTGGACATTGTGTTATTTACACTTTTGGAGTTTGGTTTTGCTTTGAGTTCATTGTGACTGTGCCCTGGTTCTTTCTTCAAGTAAGAAAAGTATTTTTCTTTTTTTACAGGAGCCCAAAGTTTGAGACTGAATTTTAATAGATTGGCTGTTTTAAAGACTGAACATTTGAATTTGTAAAGATTGTGGGATTTTTAAAGTTCTTTCTCCCCAATGTGAGATCTTGGGGATGAAGGAGAAAGAAGAGGTGGTTTAACAGTAATGTGTTTGTGGGCCAAGTTGTCCAGGGGTCAGTTGTGCTGGGTGGTTTTATGTCAACCTGACAGAGGCTAAAGTCACCTGAGAGGAGGGAACCTTGACTGAGAAAATGCCTCTGTAAGACTCTGCTATAGGTAAGCCTTTAGTACACTTCCTTAATTAGTGGTTGATGGGGGAGAGCTGAGCCCTTGGCTGGTGGTCCTGGGTTCTGTAAGAAAGCAGGCTGAGCAAGCCCTGAGAAGCAAGCCAGTAAGCAGCACCCCTCCATGGCCTCTGCAAAGTTCTTACTGTTTGAATTCCTGTCCTGACTTCCTTCAATGATGAATAGTGATGTGGAACTATAAGCCAAATAAACTGTTTCCTCCCCACTTGCTTTCTGGTCATGACTTTTCATTGTAGCAACAGAAACCCTCCGTATGACAGGTACCCGGCAGGCCTGGCACCTCGCAGTGTATGTGTTATAGTGGCCTTGGGTGGAGTCTCCAGCAGCCTTACTATCTAGAGGTTTATATACAGTAGTAACAGGAGGTGTCCAGCAGGCGATAAAAAATGTAGACTGGGCAACAGTAGTAGTTTCTGAGTGTTGATCTGTGCAAGTGAGTCCAGTGCCCAAGAAAGCCAGAGGTGTGATTCCCTGGCCGTGGGCCTCCCACTGTGATGCTGCACTCGGGTAGCCAACTTTTCCCTCAGCAAGAGCAGTAAGCATTCTCTCCAGCCTGGTTTTGTTTGACAGATTTTTTGTTTTGTATCTTTAAGTTATTAGGAACAGGAAGAGGTATTTCTACATCCATATCAACACTGTTCATGTTGTTATAAATATGATTTTGATGGGAGATTTTCAAGAAACTGTTAAAACATTTTTAAAACCGTTTTTTTTTTTTAATTAGCTGAAGGATTACTAACTCATAGGTACCCATCCCCCAAAAAAACCAAAAGAGCAATACCAATTTGTTTTTAAGACAT